CATAATCCTCCGTACAGCAGAATATAGAAGACACTATCTCTAGATTTGGAGGTTATCTAAATTGCTCTGGGCAGGCCTGTAAATTGAACTCATGGGTTTAATGTAGAGGAATGTCTAGTGTAATTTAGATTGCAAGTTAGAGGGATGTCCCCTATAAATTTGGGGATATTGCCCTTCTAAATTGGGTGTATAGCAGAATGTAGAAGACACTGCCCTAGATTGCAATATAAATTGAACTGGAGTGTTTAGTATAGTGGACTGTCCAATTTTGGATAGAAATGTAGAATATTTGGAGTTGTCCCTGTAAATTTGGAGTATATTATCATTTAAATTGGAGATATAACTTTATATAGAAGGAGGTAGAGGACTCGTCTCCTAAATTTGGGTTGTCTTTAGCGAGATGATTTAGAGGAGGAGGATATCTAAATTAGATTGAGCACACTCTAGAAAGGAGAGTGTCCCTTCTAACTACTTAAAACCCCTTAAATTAAACTCTGAAGAGTTTAATTTAGAGGGGTTTGAAGGGAGACTTCTGTAGGCTGTTCTCAAGATATTTCTTTTAAAAAATCAACGCACTGGAAGATTTATTGTTAGATATTCTTTTATTTTTATTATTGTTATCACCTTTCACTGTTAAAATATACACCTAATTTTAATTATATTCGTCGGTAATGTATGCGGAAGTGACGTATCTTATTCTTCTTTTACTAATCCTCTTTACAAGTTACACGGTAATCTAATTAAAAAAAACGATAAATATTAATTTATGTTAATTAAAGTATGGAATTTTTGAAAGGTATTGTCAATGCTTCGAGGGATAATTGCAATTTTTCGAGGTGGAAACGGTCTTGAAAACACGCTCTTTATTGGATGACGACGTCCAGAAACGTAAGTAGAACGTCATTAATTGTTGCTAATGCCTTTTTTTTTTAAAGGTTAAAATAAGGTAAGACACGCTCCAAATAGGCATTTTTAAAAAAATTATCGAGGACAGAATTAAAATTTGCACGAAAATACACTACAAGATTGCATTTTGCTTCATCCCTCAAGTCGTATCGATCCTTAATTTACTCACAAAAGCTATAATTTGGTAGTTTTAATAGCGTACAGGGGTTTAATTTGCTCTAAACTGTACGCTGTGTGCGTTAAATCGAGAGAAAAAGAGACGTTAAAACCAGGAATCACGCGTAAAATACACTATTATTTGAGGAAAAACGTCATTGTGAAGTCATAATAAAGCGAAGAATAATTGTTGCGTCACAATTGGAAGAGAGAGATCGAAATTTGAAAAAAATAAAAAAAATTCCCTCCCAATTGTGTGACGTGTAACAATTGCTCCATTGTGACTCGACAATCAAAGTTTCCTCTCAGTTGTTATACACTATTGTGAGTTAACAATTAAATGCAAAAATAATGATTGTTACGTCGCAGTCGGGGAGTAAAATCTACACGAATTCATAATTAAATGAAAAGTGATGATTGTTACGTAACAACCGAAAGCAATTGTTGAAGGACACGAGAAAAGATGAAGTGACGTTCAAGAAGTAAGTGACGTCAAACGTCGGCGAATTCATTATCAATATTAATTTAATTTTAAAAACAAGGATTAATTAAACAAAGTAATATTTATAATTCTTAATCATTTTAAATTAATTAATTAATAAAATTCCGGAGAAGAATTTACTTTTCTGTGTCTCTCTCTATTAAATAATTACACGTTTCCGCTTAATTAACTGCAGAATGTAACTTCGTTTCAAGTAAACTCGCGGAACTTGCGGCGAGCATTGTTATAAACACTTAAATTTATTGGATTTGTGGGTGTTTTTTTCAAGATAGCGTGACTAAAACTCTTTCGAATCGACACGAAATATCACTATTTGATAAATTTGGAACGATTTAAAATCCTTAAAGTTCGTCCTTTCTACTGTAAATAAATAAATAAGAATAAAGTTGTAAAATCGGTAAAATTTTAAAGGTTTCTGCTTCAGAATAACTCGCAAAAACGTCATTTATGAGTTTTTTGCCTTTTAAAAACTAATAAATGACGTGGCGAATAATTAAAAACGTCGTAAATTAAGTCACGTATAAAGGCTCATTAATGACGTCACATATGATTAAAACACTCATAACTTACATCACGTATATTTTAAAAAATCATAAGTGACGTCACGTATATTTAAAAAAATCAAATGGCGTCACGTATATTTTTAAAAAACTAATAAGTGACGTCACGTATATTTTTAAAAAATCGTAAGTGACGTCACGTATATTTTTAAAAAACTCACAAGTGACGTCACGTATATAATAAACTCATAAGTGACGTCATGTATATTTAAAAAACTCATAACTGACGTCACGTATATTTTTAAAAAATCGTAAGTGACGTCACGTATATTTTAAAAAAACAAATGACGTCACGTATATTTTAACAAACTCATAAGTGACGTCACGTTTAAAAAAAACAAATGACATCACGTATATTTAAAAAAACTCATCAGTGACGTCACGTTTAAAAAAAACAAATGACATCACGTATATTTAAAAAAACTCATCAGTGACGTCACGTATATTTCTAAAAAATCGTAAGTGACGTTATGTATATTTTAACAAACTCATAAGTGACGTCACGTTTAAAAAAAGTGACGTCACGTATATAATAAACTCATAAGTGACGTCATGTACATTTAAAAAAATAACTGACGTCACGTATATTTTTAAAAAATCGTAAGTGACGTCACGTATATTTTAAAAAAACAAATGACGTCACGTATATTTTAACAAACTCATAAGTGACGTCACGTTTAAAAAAAACAAATGACATCACGTATATTTAAAAAAACTCATAAGTGACGTCACGTATATAAAAACTCATAAGTGACGTCACGCATGTGAAAAAACTCATAAGTGACGTCACGTATATTTAAAAAAAACTCATAAGTGACATCACGTATATTTAAAAAAAACTCATAAGTGATATCACGTATATTTAAAAAAACTCATAAGTGACGTCACCGCGCCATTTTTTCAGTTAGATGACGCTTGTTTCTTTTTGTTTATTAATGGCAAGTTGGTTGCGATTTCATCGATTTTCCGATAAATGAGATTCCAGGCGGGAAACGACGTGAAGTGTTACGGCGTAACCGTCGTCGATCCTGCTTTCTAACGCGGCAATTAATGGAATAATCGCCGTTGGCGGCCGCGACAATCGGTAACTACCGAACAGGAGAGCTCCCATCCTCCTCCCGAAGCCGTAACACGTTACTATAGTAACAATTAGAAAAATGCCAGCGTTTTACTTCATTCCGATCGGGGAATTCTAATGTAAAACGATTCGGGTTACAGATTACGTTTTAATTATTTTTGCGAGTTATGTTACTCTCATCCTGTCGAGGGGTAACGATAAAGTTCCGCCGGTATAATTAATTTATCGAGAAAGATAAACAGCGGAAACGTGTTACGTTAATAGAGGAGAAAGAAGAAAAATAAATACAGTCGGAGAGTTTACATTACTCGGAATATCACATTAATTACGCCCGTTAGATGCGAAGAAACTTAGCGTAACGACGTATAAATATGCCTTTTGTGGAAGCATTATCAGCAAATAGTAACGATGATGATGATGATGATCAGCAGAGGATAATCTTCTAAGAGCACGCATCTATAAGGAACATGTAAGAGATCCATTAGTGGAAGGGTGTGAAAAACCATATGTCTAGTGTCTTTATCGCCGCGGTAAAGCTATAAATCATTATAGAAACTGCGTTACAAGTGTAGTTACGTGGCTGTAAACGTGTACAGTATACGGGTTTCATACTGAATGAATAAATACATACGCGAATGACGCGATTTTGGAGTAACGGAACGGATTTGCCTTAATAGAGTGGGTTTAGGTGGTACGTGTTTTAACGTTACCTAGAGTAATTCGAAGCATTGATTTAGGTTTCCCCGATTTAAGGGTCTTAAAGATTTAAGAGTTTATCAAGGCTCTTTCCTCCCTTGGCCAGTTATAATGAATTTATGAAGGGTCATACGTCCCTTGGCCAATTTTGTCCAGTGAATTAGTTGTATCTAGGGATTGACGTTGATCAGGGCTATAGGAAGCTGGGTATGGAGTCCGGGGTTAGAAAGGGTTTCATTTGCCTTTTTTAACAAATGAAAGTAGTAGTCTGAAAGACTATGTTTTTATATTAAAAAAATGACGTTAAATTATAGATGCAGGAACTATTAGAGGGGGAAGTTCGGGGAGAAATCCCCTAGATTTCTTCATTGACAACCTTAAAGTTGGACTAAAAAAGAATAAAACAAACCAAGACAAAGGAAACACTTGTTACAATTAAATTTTACAGAGGAAAAACTCTAACTTTGACAAATTTGAAGGAGTTTCCAACTTGTTTTTCAGATGCTCGTGATGCTTTTTACGATGATAAATCTTCTTTATTGGGCTTGAAATTCCTTTTTACTTGGTGAAATTCTCTTTTCTTTAAAAGTAATTTTTTTTTAAATAAGTTTTACAGGTTACTTTTCCTTTTCACCATTGTGTCTTCAGTCTTTAAAATATACTGTTATGAAACACGAAGTTATAAATATGGCCTAGTATCGTGAAATACAGTACCAGAGCCGAAGGCTCTGGTACTGTATTTCACGATACTAGGGCCCACCCTACATAGGGGAGGATTTTTGTGTGTGCGGTTTGTCCAGGGTGGGGCCCTAGTATCGTGAAATACAGTAGGACCCATCAAATCATCCCCACCCTGGACAAACCGCACCCACAAAAATCCTCCCCTAAATTATTATTTAGAAGCCATTTTGTTTTTTCTATAACTAGACCGATGGGTGATTGATTATCGGAGGATTAACGACGCGTCACCACACCAGACAGATTTGATAATCAACGTGTCGCCTGGTCATAAATCACGTTCAATTATCTTTCACACGCTGCAGTTTAAAACTCCAGAAGGGTGTCTGTAAGTCTGGCCGTTGGCTCGAAAACTGTCGACAAGTTTAAAACGAATTTATTATCCACAAAAAATGTCATCAAAGCAATTTTTAACACTTTAGAATTTTTAAATTGTCATAACATTTTCTTGTTTTTTAATTAATCGCGATCGGGTTTCGTAAACAACAACATCGATTATATCACAACGTTACAACGCTTTCATTTGAAACAGCGGGTGAGCATAGTCGCAGAAATCCTCTTTGGTTCGAAAAAGAACACCATATTTCGCGTATAAATCACGGGATTTACTGGAGACAAGCGTTATTTCGGGGGTAAAATGGGCCATTTAAAAGGCAAAAATATCGACAATACACTCGCGAGATGACGTCCAATCCTGTCAAATTTGCAGGTATATAGAATATATATATATATATGTTAAAATACATCGAAAAGATAATTTACATCTGGGCTGGTCCTCATGCATAAAGAGAAGTTTGCAAGTCGAAAAAATACATCACAGAATCTTTCATGGAGGGAGTTGGAGGATCAGTGTGCAAGTGCAGTTGAGGTGTTACAACGTGAAGGATCGTGTCAGGCGTATTCTGTTTCCGAAAAACTTTGGCCCTCCGACAGGCTTCTGTCGTAGTACGGTTGATGACCCTCGGGGTAGTATTCGTTAGTCAGTTCCTCCGAAGCTTGACCCCTGGAGTTAGCAAGGGAGATGGACTTCTGGTAACTGAACAGTTGCCTCTCTAAGTAGTAGTTTTCGGCCTGCAATGCGGAAATCTCTCTCCTGTAATGTATAAATTAATTCGGGTTAAGGGAGGGTGGTAAAATACTGGTGGCATCAAGCCAATGAAAGCGAACACTTACTTCATCTGGTGACAGTGGAGGTGGAATATGTCATCGTACTTGTGGTAACTAGAGTTGAAGAGTAGAATCGATTCCAGCCATTCGATATGGACTGTTAGATTTCCGTTACTTTCTAAGTATAAGTTGGAAGATTCTTTGATCTGGAATTCACAATTAGAATAGGAATAATTGGTTTGTTTTTAGTAAGGGAGATGGTTAAGAATGTTGATATCTTTTCGGCAAAAAATAGGGCAATTTGGATACCGTGTAAGTACATTAGCCGTTTTGTAGTCTTGTAATTCTTAGTTTTGTATAATGGGATAAGGGAAATGAGTAAATATAGATATAGTAAAGTTTTATGACTGTAATGGGAGAGCAAGTGCAGATTCCAAACTCTGACGTGAAAGGCCTGGAGTTATTTTGACTGTGAGTGGGAGCAGAAAAGTATCTTTGACTGTGAGTGGGAGCAGAAAAGTATTTTTGACTGTGAGTGGGAGCAGCGATCTTTGACTGTGAGTGGGAGCAGCGAAGTATCTTTGACTGTGAGTGGGAGCAGAAAAGTATCTTTGACTGTGAGTGGGAGCAGAAAAGTATTTTTGACTGTGAGTGGGAGCAGCGAAGTATCTTTGACTGTGAGTGGGAGCA